GTGGTCGTTCTGTAGCTTTTTTTGATGGGTTCCCCACGGACTTCAAGACTAACGTTTGGACATAATAGTTTTGAGGTTCTATTTTCATTTCCGGTGGGTCCGATCCTTGGCTTTGTTGACACCTTCTTAATTTATGATGTTGTCAAAACTATGATCTTGACATACGTGGATGTTAATTTTGCTTTGGATTGTTATTGGTGTCTGTATTTCTTTGTGTATAGTCTTTTGTTCTTACTTTGTAAATGCCGAATGGCATGACAGTTTTCTTGTCAGGATAAAAAAAAATAAAAAATAAAATAAATGATGATCAATTCATTTTCATTTCCAAAAGTTGTTTTGTGCATCCAAACAAGCCATTGGCGTATTAAACAATCAGGGTGGAGCCAAGGTGGGTTTAGGGTCTCCCAAAATTTTCTAAATTTTTTATAGATTTTTTTCTTGTATTCCTTTTTTTTTTTTTTTTTTTTTTTTGAATTTTTTTTTTTTTTATATTACATATCAAGGAAGGTCATTGTAATTTATCCTTATTGTCAAAGTTGGAGTTTAAAAAACTTACATATGACCTCTCGAAAATTCATTAATAACTTTTTATTCTTAGTTTAAAAATTCAAATTTATTAAAAGAAAATTTAATTTCATTATAGTGATAGTCCTTAGTCCTTACTACAAAATGGATGCTAATTTATTTATTTATTATTATTATTATTATTTTTTGAATTAGTCTCGTCTACTTATTTCTTCAAATTGTCTTTTATAAATTTTTTTTTTAAGGTTATAAGTACTTCCTCATTATTTAAATTATATTAAAAATACAAAAAAATTATGGTGTGGGTGTTCTCACTAAGCTTGCACACTTTGACCATTGAGCCCAATGGTATAAAAGTTTCAAGAATGCAACATAATAGACAGGATCGTAATAATTTATATTTATATTTTTTAAATTTTTTTTAGTAATTGTAGTTATATAGTGCTTGGCCCCCAACTCGAATATTTCTGACAGTCCCTGCATGCAATGCTATGCCAATTCCAGAGCTACACCAAATGCCAACATTCAGATTATGTGATAAATTACGTTTGTGTTTGTTTGGTGTGTAGGAATGAAATAAAATGTAAGTAGGAATGGGATGGAATAGAATAACTATTCTCATTCTATTATTTAGTTGTAAATATGAAATATGTACAAATAAAATGATAATAACCATTCAAGTGTTTGGTTGGACTAATGTAAAATTTAGAATGGAATAAATTTCACATTGAGTTCTCCAAAATATCTCTCTTACTGACAAATAAATTAAATTAACAAAATGACATTCTTTTATAATTTTTTAAAAATAAATAGTGACAGTGGCGATGGTGGATGGTGGTGAAGGTGGAAAGCGATAGTGGTGTAAGTGGTGGTGGAGGAAGGAGATAGTGGCGTACGTGGCGGCGGTGGAAGCCAATGGAGGTGGCGGCGGTGGTGGTGGAAGGTGGTCGAAAGCGGTGGTGGTGGAAGGAGGCGGCGGCGGCGGTGGTGGAAGGCGGTGGAGGCGGCGGTGGTAGAAGGTGATGGCAGTAGTGGTGGTGGTGATGGAATGCCGTGGCGGTTGAAAATAGTGGCGGTGGCGGCGGTGGTGGTGGAAGGTGGTGAATGTAGTAAAAGATTGTGGCGGTGGTGAAAGACTATGGCGGCGGTGGTGGAAGGTGGTGGCTATGGTATTGAAAGGCGGTGGCAGTGGTGGCGGTGGTGAAAGGCGATGGCGGTAGTAGTGGTGGTTGCGACAAAGAAAGGTGGTGGCGTTGGTGGTGGTGGAAAACGGTGGTGAAAGTTGGTGGTGGTGGTAGTGGTGGAAGTTGGTGGTGGTGGTGGTGAAAGGCAAAGGTGGTTGTGGTGGAAGGTAGTGGTGGTTCTTAAATTTGGATATGAGAGTTTTTTGGGAAGTTAATTTAAATTTTTTTTTTTATTTAGGAATGGAATGACCATTTCATAGGTTTAGTTGTAAAATGGATTTTCATTCCAATAGAATGATCATTCTTACTTTAAATTACATACCAAACAAATAAATGGTTAGAATGGCCATTCCATTCCATTCATACACACCAAACACAACATTATATGACGACAGTGTATTTTGTGATATTGTCATTGTGGATACACTCCGTACAAAAAATAATTTATTTTCTTACAATGACTTTATTAAAAATGTATAGTGATAAACAGGGTTGAACCCAAAGGAATGCTATGATGAAAAACTATTATGAATCTAAGTTAATTTAAATCTAACCTATTAATCAAAGTGGTAGAAGAATAGATTTTGAAATTAAACTAAACAATTAAAATAAATATAAACATGAATAACTAAAGTATAGGAGTCCACCAAGATTAAATCCATAATCTCCTAATTCTCATTTACTAATTCTCAAGTAAGAGAAACAATTCGGGTGTCACTCAGGTTGCTTCATAATTTAAGAGTAGAATTTACTTCGCTTAAAAGAATAAATTCAAAAGAATCATGTGTATCCAAAACATGAAAGACATAGGATTAAAAAATAATTTTCTAAGCATCAAATGTATCCAATCCAATGAAAAACACAAGATCAAATAAATTCATTATCAAGAGTTTAGAAATCAAGCTTTAATCAATTGGATATAGAATTACTCTAACAATCAAGAATACATGATATTAATGGTGAAAGTTCTAAAATCCAATTAAATCATTTGAAGCAAAAATCATAAACATTAAAATCATTTTAAGAGAAATTAAATAAATAAAAATCAGAAAATTATTTCATTAACTAGTGGTGTCCTCCTCAACACTAAAAATACATACTAAAAATAAAGCATGAAATAAACAAAAATAAAAAGAAACACTTGGAAGGGGCAAGAACCCCTTCTGCGAACTCCACCCTCAGCACTCCTCTCTGTGTCCAAGTATATGTTTTTTTCTGTATATTCTGTGCTGGGCTTTTAATAGCTGAAACTCAATTGCATTTTCCATCTTTTGGTGCTCCATCCATCTTCTTTCTATTTTATTAACATTGGAACAGCCACTTTCCTTCCACTTCTTCACCACCTTTTCTCTCTCTTGCTTTCCATCATTCCACCAAATTTATTTATTTATTTATTTATTTATTTTTGGGGTTAAAAGGTAAGCTTTCTCTTTCTTCTTTTGCTTTGCTGACCATCCCAACATATACACATTATATATATATACATAATACATATATTATATTAGGATAAAGTATAACCACATCCTCTGTGGTTTGATAAAAAGACACTCAAAAAAAATTTACCTATTTTTTAGACAAAGATATCCCCTGAAAGTTCACAAATAGATAAAGACACCCATTTACATGATAAATTGACCAAATTACTTGTTGACCATTTATGAGACATTTTTTACTTTATAATTTAATAAATTGAACTAATCTATCCTCATGAACAATTTATGCATAAAAAAAAAAGTAAAAAAAAACAAAAAACTTTATATTGCACACTTTTTTTTTTTTTTACTTTATAAATGTCCCAATTTCTTAAAAAGGTAGACGTCTAAAATGATTTTTTGATCCAATACATATATGTCAAATAAATTATATTTTGTTTTTACTTTTTCTTTTTCTTTTTTATTTTTAAATTAGGATGCTTAATTCTTTCATCTAAAAAAATTAAATCAATCTCTTTTCCTTAAAAATAAAAAATATGGTGCCAGTATAATTTTATGTAACTTAAATTATATATCAACTATTATGCATTTCCCAATATAAAACAAAATAGGTACCAGTATTACTTTATGCATCTTAACTTTATGCATGTCTTTGTTTTGTTTTGTTTTGTTTTTTGTTTTTTTTTTTTTTTTTTCCCTTTGTTTTATTATTACTTTTTTCTCATTTGTTTTTTTATTATTATTTTTTCCCCTTTTATGTTGGGAAATGCATAATATTTGATATTAATTTAAGATGCATAAAGTTATACTGATACCATATTTTTTATTTTTAAGGAAAGGAGATTGGTTTAATTTTTTAAGATGAAAGAATTAAGCATCTTAATTTAAAAATAAAAAAGAAAAAAAAAAGAAGTAATAACAAAATATAATTTATTTAAAATATATGTATTGGATTAAAAAATCATTTTAGATGTCTACATTGTTTTAGAAGTTGGGACATTTATAAAATAATAACAAAAAAAAGAAAAAGAAAAAATGTGAACAATATAATTTTATTTTATTATTTATTTATTTATTATTATTTTTTTTTATGCATAAATTGTTCATGAGGGTAGATTGGTCCAATTTATTGAATTGTAAAGTTAAAAAAGTCTCATAAATGGTCAAAGGGTAATTTGGTCAATTTTTCATGTAAAGGGATATTTTTGTCCAAAAAAAGAGATAAGTTTCATTTAAGTGTCCTTCCACAAATGTGAGACCTAGTTTAGTGATGACGTGGCAAAGGATTGAATTTTGGCTAAAGACTGGAACCTGAAACCATAGGTAGAATAAGGAAGCGCTCTAACACCTTCGCCAGTGTTCTCCTTGTGTCTGTTGTTGGCTGTAAAAATATATATACATATCTACCAATTTTAATTTGTCCACCATTTTCTTTCTAAATTTAATCTTTTTGTCATCTTTTGGTGGACATCACAAATAACCTATACAATTACAAACTTCTACTAATTAAATAAAATAAAGATACTAACAAATATAAATTTAGGGGTGAATTATGTAAGAAATGTGAACTCATCATTATAGAATTACAACTACACTGCAATTGAAGTTGCGAGCAATCCTATGCCAATTCTATAGATGTACCAAACCGCAATATTATGATTATTTAATGAATTAAGATTATATAGATTTATAATTCCAACTCAAGAAGTACAACTGAAAGCTGAAAAGAAATTTGGGTTGTGATTGCGCTTGACCATTGGAGGCGTCCATGGGTTTGACTTGTCCCACATGGACAAGATATACAACCGAAGTGGCAATGCAAGGGTTATATTAGGGAATGCTAATGCCCATTAAAAACTTACTTACCTAGACGGGATCAATAGGTGATCAAGAAGGCCTGTGGCCTAGGTTGGTGACCTTCATTGCACTTGGGAGGGGTGCTTGCCTTAGGTCTGCCGAAGAGGTGGAGCCTACGCTATAATTTGTGATAGTGGGGGCCTGCGTTCGCGCAACCCCTGCCCTAATGTAGTCAAATTTGAGCTTAGCACTCTTTAAGAAGCTCCTAATCTAATCTAGTCAAATTTGAGCTTGGCACTCTATGAGGGGCTATCTAGTCAAATTTGAGCTTGGCACTCTCCGAGCCTATTTGAGAGCGCTTTTATTTTGAAAAAAAAAAAAAAAAATTACTTTTAATGGTTACCGTAGAGTGGTTTTTTTTTTCTTTTTTTTCCTACCAATTGGGGTCCTCCCCCGGGATGGTCTAGGTCCTCTGGACGTAATTTTTAATTAATGGTTGCTGAGCAGTTTTTGGATATCATACCTTTAATGTGGACTTTTAAAACTACGTTATGAGTGGAGGTTGAATATTTTAAGTAACTATTCCATTAGTCAATTGTATCATTTTATGGATTTTCATTCTAATGAAATGACCATTTCCACTTTAAATTGCATACCAAATAAAGGAATGGTTGAAATGGCCATTCCATTCCTGCACACCAAACGCAGTATTATAGAATTACAATTACACTGCAATTGAAGTTGCAAGCAATCCTATGCTAATTCTATAGATGTACCAAATCACAATATTCTTATTATTTAATGAATTAAGATTCTGTAGATTTACAATTCCGACTCAAGATGTATTACTGGAAACTGAAAAGAAATTTGGGTTGTGATTGCGCTCGACCATTAGAGGTGTCCATAGGTTTGATTTGTCCCACATCGATAAGATATACAACAGAAGTGGAAATGCAAGGCTTATATTAGGGAATGCTAGTGCCCATTAAAAACTTACTTACCTAGACGGGGTCAATGGGTGATCAAGAAGGCCCATGGCCTAGGTTGGTGACCTTCATTGCACTTAGGAGGGGTGCTTGCCTAAGGTCCGCCCAGAAGGTGGAGCCTACGTCATAATTTGTGGTAGTGGGGGCCTGCGTTAGCGTAGCCCCTGCCCTAATCTAATCAAATTTGAGCTTAGCACTCCATGAGAGGCTCCTAATCTAATATAGTCAAATTTGAGCTTAGCACTCTCTGAGTCCGTTTGAGAGCGCAATTTTTAATTAATGGTTGCTGAGCAGTTTTTGGATATTGTGGACTTTTAAAACTGTGTGATGAGTAGAGGTTGAATATTTTAGGTAACTTTTCCATTAGCCAATTATATCATTTTATAGATTTTCATTACAAAAGAATGGCCATTTCCACTTTAAATTGCATACTAAATAAAAGACTGGTTGAAATGTCCATTCCATTTTTGCAAACTAAACGCAACATTATAGAATTACAATTACACTACAATTGAAGTTGCAAGCAATCTTATGCTAATTCTATAGATGTACCAAATCGTAATATTCTGATTATTTAATGAATTAAGATTCTATAGATTTACAATTCCCACTCAAGAAGTATTACTAAAAAGTGAAAAGAAATTTGGGTTGTGATTGCGCTTGACCATTGGAGGTGTCCATGGGTTTGACTTGTCCCACATCGATAAGATATACAACAGAAGTGGCAATGCAAAGCTTATATTAGGGAATGCTAGTGCCCATTAAAAACTTACTTACCTAGACGGGGTCAATGGGTGATCAAGAAGGCCCATGGCCTAGGTTGGTGACCTTTATTGCACTTGGGAGGGATGCTCGCCTAAGGTCCGCCCAAAAGGTGGAGCCTACGTCATAATTTATGGTAGTGGGGGCTGTGCTCGTGCAACCCCTGTCCTAATCTAGTCAAATTTGAGCTTAGCACTCTATGTGAGGCTCCTAATCTAATATAGTCAAATTCGGGCTTAACACTCTATGAGGGGCTATTTAGTCAAATTTGAGTTAAGCACTCTCTAAACCTGTTTGAGAAAAACAACGCTTTTAATGGTTACTGTAGAGTGTTTTTTCCCCCTATCAATTGGGCTCCTCTGGAAGCAATTTTTAATTAGTGGTTGCTTAGCAGTTTTTGGATATCGTAGACTTTTAAAACTGCGTTATGAGTAAAGATTGAATATTTTAGGTAATTCTTTCATTAATCAATTATATCATTTTTATTTTTTATAAAGACAATTACACTCATTTTTTAATAAAGTTGTTATTATCAAATATGGTAGCATCTTATTAAAGGATATTATTATAAATTTTTTTTAAAATTAATTATAAAAAATACTTATTATAATATGTCACCAAATACTTAACTGATTGTAATTTTTTGACAACTTTATTAATATAAAACGTTTTTTTTATTCAAACAGTACCCGAAACGGGCTCTATATCTCTTACCCTTGAGTAAGGGAACCTTGTTTGCAATTGTCACAACCTCTAGATGGTTCTAATTAAAGAGACTATATTTGATGATACCAGAAAGTTCTTTAAAAGCAACATTAACAGAGCACCAGGGACAGTTTGATTTGATGATACAAACAACATCCATATAAAACACTTGCAAATATGAGGTGAGGTTGGGTCATTTTATTTATGCCCTCAAAACGAAGGGAACTTAATTTTTGAAGCACATTTTCCCATTGGGATCCCTGGACAATCTACAATTCTAGTCCCTTTGTTGTCTGTACACAGGTAAATTTGGTAGAGTTGACTGTTCCCTAATTTGTCATTGTTGCACACCATTCCTGGTGTGTAGCCAAATGCTTCTTGTATCACATTTGATACTGTGCCTACTTCATAAAATGCCCCATTGGGTTGGATTCCTGTAATCATACTTGCAATACTCATTAATACACACACATATATAGAGGAGATTATGAATGATCATTAACCCTTTCCGGAAAAAATTATTAAGTGGTCCTGGACTATGTAGTCCTAACTAATTAGGAAAGACCATGCAAACAAATGTGTCATCTTTATTCAATTTTTTTTATTACAATGGGATCGCAACGGTCACGTTAGCAGAATTTAGGAATATAAATGATTATATACATTAATTCAGAAAATTGTCAATGGATGTTACCTGCTTAATTAAGTATCTTTAGTAGGTGAATTTTTTCCTTGAGATTGAGTGCTGCCTCAAAGTACTGATGCTGATTGAGTAGAGATTCTGAACAGGTCCCATATTTCTGCCATTCACGTGACCACAAGCTTTTACTGTCACTCCTTGGACAGGCGAGTGATGGCCAATTTTGTTGCATTATCTTGGTCAGGTCTGAAATCTATATCAGAAAAAGAAACCATTGCTCATAAAATAAGCACTCTGGACAACATGGAAAATCAATAGATTATATGAAGAACCACATGTATAACTACTAGATGGTAGATGGTTATTAAAAAACAAAAAGAATATCTTTATTATAATCTGAAAATAATTAACTTAAATTTTATCCATCGATTAATCCCGGATCAATAATGAACTCTCAACCTCCCTTTGGGAAGGAGCTACAGATCATACCAATAGCGTTAGTGGGCTGTTGGGTGCTGATTTCTATTTACAAATCAAGTCTGTATTAACTTATATGCATAATATTTTCAGTAAGCAAACCTTAGACAAATTAAAACTGCTGTGAGGATTGCAATAGGTTGGGAATGTGCCATTGAAGTAAAAGGGCCATAGTCCACCTATGCTGAAATCATTTGCAGGTTTTCCATTTTTGGGATAGCAACAGCCCTGCTTTGTATTACAATATGACCCTGGCCACTACATACACACAGAGAACAATTAATTAAAATGAAATTCATGCAGTGAGCTCAATAAAGTAGACAATTTTGGTGAAATTTATAAGCTTTCTCAAACAATCCAATATAAATATAAAAACTACAGTTAATTGGAAATGTTAGTTTGACAGTACCTGAAGAACAATGTAGAAGAAACCAATGCCATTCTCAGCAAAACATGGATATGTTGAAACTGATAGAGCACAAATGATAAGAAGTGAAGCTAAGGAAGAGATTGATTTCATGGTTGTTTCACTAGCTATGAATGGTGTGGACTGTGGCCTTGGCCCTTGATATAAGGATTTGGTTGAATCATCATTTCTATAAATAGACCATACCGTTTGTATATAATACTGTAATTTATGGTTGCTTTAGTTTATTTATTTAAAAATGTATTGGGGTCATAATTTTATTGGCAATTGAAAGGTCAACTCATGTGATTGGATCTTCTGCGCTAAAAAATTTTGAGCACGCGGAGTGGATGTCATGGCCTATCTTGCTCTCATTAAACAATACACCAACCCAATTCAATTTACATACCAACGACCCAGTTGAGCTTTTATTTCCCTCCTATCTCCCTCTTTCATAAAAAAAAAAAAATTAAAAAAAAAAATGGTTCCTAATGATGTGTTTGGATCGAGGAAAAGATAAATAGAGAAAACTTATCTTGTATTTGTTTGAAGGGAAAAAAATGTCTAACTCATTGAGTTGTGCTTTTTATGTGACGGCCCAAGTTTTGTAAACCCGGTGCATCAATGATGACCAAAGATGACCCGATAACGGATCCGAAATGCGGAAGTGTCGTTTAAAAAACGGACAAAAAGGAATCTAGGGGCAAAATGGTCATTTTACAAAAAAATTGATTCAAGTGCTATCGAGCACACCAGTGGGAAAACAATGAAAAACTAATCATGATGGACTCAAGAATTTCATTATTCAGATTCCGGACGAAGGAGAAACGACAAAACAAAGAAAAACGAGCAATAAAGCTAAAAGGGTAAACTGGTAATTATTCAAAAATATCTGGGTGCAACCGAATACACCGTTGGATAGAAAATGAAAAATTAATCAATTTAAAAAAAAAATTCACTTGATTTGGAGTCCGGATGGGGGAGAAAGGTCAAAAACAAAATCGACGTCGCGGCGGCCCGACGAAGGCCGTGACAGCTACAGTGCCGTCAACCCACTACTGCTGCAACTGAAAGTAAAAACGGGCATCTAAACGGACTTTTCTGGAAAAACTCAAAGAAGAAACACCCCCCCCCCCCAAAATCAAATTTCCTACCCCGATCGCCGACGGAAACAAAAAAATATGCATTGTAAAATGCCTAGAATGCCCCAAGAAAATCTGGTCAAGGGGGTAAAAATTTCTCCGAGCTACTGCCCAAAGAAATGAAATAGGGTTTCGGGAGGTTTTTAAATTGCCTAAATTGAAAATACAATCTTAAAATACACCCACAAGACTCCCGGAAGTTTCGGATCGGTCGTCACACTTTTCAAAAAAAAGTCAATGAATAGTAACAAGTACATTTGCACTAAAAATCTGCAAAACCTGGTAGAAAGGATTTTTCGGACAAATATGAATTTTTGAGGGCCAAGATGGCATTTTCTGGAAAAACACAAAGAAGAAACACCCCTCAAAATCAAGTTTCCTACCCCGATCGTAGACGGAAAAAAAAAAATGCATTGTAAAATGCTCAGAATGCCCCAAGAAAATCTGATTAAGGGGGTAAAAATTTCTCCGAGCTACTGCCCAAAGAAAGGAAATAGGGCTTCGGGAGGTTTTTAAATTGACTAAATTGAAAATGCAATCTTAAAATACACCCACAAGACCCTCGGAAGTTTCGAATCGGTCGTCACACTTTTCAAAAAAAAGTCGATGAATAGTACCAAGTACATTTGCACTAAAAATCTGAAAAACCTAGCAGTAAGGATTTTTCGGACAAATATGGATTTTTGAGGGCCAAGATGGCATTTTCTGGAAAAACACAAAGAAGAAACCCCCTTCAAAATTGAGTTTTCTACGTGACTTAAAGGAAAAATGAAAAAAACGCATTGTGAAATACCCGAAATGCCCCTAGAACAGAATAGGGTAAAACTCCCTAAAAATGCTACTTAAAGTTTTTGTTTCATCAATGATGGTGTTGTTTGTCAAAGTGAGTATGCAAGTGCATGCAATATGATAAAATAGATGTACCAATATGGCCTAAAGCCTCTTTACATTCCATTAACAAGTTTTAGCATACAAAGCCTCCATTTCTCACAAATAAGCTACAATAGCAATACTTGAGTTTTAGAGGAAACATACTTGTAACCTTTCAAGTTAATGGCCCTTGGCCTCATGTCATACATGTAAAATGAACACTTCCAAATGTATTTAGATACTTATTACAAAAAGGAAGCCATCTTAACTTCTAAAATACCATACATCCATGGCATACAAAATATAACATTTAAAAGATAAAACATGCTAAACAAGTGCATGTCCATATATAAAAATGCTTTAAGTACTCATGAGCCCCTATGGATGATGAGCATCCACACATATTGTCTCCTTACCTGTAAAATAGCCCACACAATTAGGGTGAGTAATCAAGTTACTCGTAGGATGTGGTGCATGCGCATACCCTATAGTTTCAAGTATAATGTGAACCAAACATAGATCATCATAAGGGTGCATTCCACCTAATGTCTATGTTTTCAGGGTACTCTAAGGGATCATCTTAAGTTATATAAATATTTAAAATGACAACCACATAGCATCCAAGTATACATGAACAAGTACACTAACCGCATTGAAACTAAAATCACCAAATCACAGGCTACAAGAAATCCATGATTTACAACTTAGAATATAATGCGAAATCAAATAATGGAAAGACTAGGATATGTGGCCACGAGACCATACATGTTATTTTGGGTAATTACGACCCACAAGGTACTACCTAGTGCGCACTATGACTTAGGAGAATTCTTATCCTCCGTACTAGAGCCAAACCCTAACCATCAACATCTCATATCCTTACAAGCTTTTAAAAATCAACAAGTTCATGACATTTATGCAATCTCAATGCATGAAACTACCTACCAAGCACAAGTAGGGTAAAACCACACAACCCATGTCTTAAGGTTACATGTCTAAAGTGGCAAGTTAATGATATTACACATCATGTTATATCAATTTATTATCAATATTGGCCATAATTACAAATCATGAAATATAGTAATCTACCTACAAGTAATTATAAGTGCCACACACAAGATTTTCATACTAAGCTTTCAATGAAATCTATATTACTAAACATCATAAATGTAATCTCAAGATATCCATAATAAAACTTCAATGGAATCATAAGTATTAGGCAATTTATTAGACAATAGCTTACCTATACAATTTAATAGTCACATACATGCTTTAATCCATAAATCCTAAGTCAAGCATATAAAATCTTTATTTACATGCTAGTACAAGAATTTAAAAAGGCATGTAATCAATATATATTAAGATCCAATATATATAAAACCCAAAGAAGATAAACATACAACCACCCCTACCTCAATAGAGAATTGAATCTTTATAATCCAAGCAACCAAGCTCAAAATGGAAAACAAGTTTAGGGTTAATGAAGAGGGGAGTGAGAGGAAGCTTTTATCTTCCAAGGTTTTATGTCTAAAGTGAGTGGAAGGAGGCCAAAATGAAAAAGAAAACTATTAACCAAGCTTTTCTCCAATGGTGGCTAGGTTATAGTTCTTGAAGACAAGTGAAAATGAAAATGATAAAGTGTAAAATGGTGAGTGGAAGGGCTAGAAATCCTCCACTCACTATGTGCTCTTACACTACCTCTCACACACACACAATGCAAGACTAAATGGTGAACCTACACTAGTCATGAATCTATGGTTCATTCCTAAGCTTAATCTCAAGCCTACACTTGTCACCATCCTATGTAAACTTCCAAAACTTAATATTGAACCTACATTTGTCAACTATCCATGCCAACAAGTGTACCAATCCTAGGCCAACAAGTGGGTGAATCTCCACCCTTCACATGCCATCATTCAAGGTATCAATGTGTTTCCACACAAATGTCAACAAGTGGACTAATGAAAGTGTGATACTTTTCGGAAATTGCAAACAAGTACTTTTTGAAAATATTTTTCAAATTAAATTGCAAAATGGTCCCTAAGATGAAAAATAATTACTTTGCATAATTACACTAAAACCCCTCAAGTTTAGGTTAATTACACATTTATTCCCTTTACAAGAAAAGTACTAATCTAACATGTTTTTCAAGAAAAGTAAAAATACCAATGTCATGGAAATCAAATACCATGAATGCATGCAAAACCGAAATCAAATCCGAGCACAACAAGTGAGGTTATGCAAGGAAAAATGGAAACCGAGAAAAGAGAAAAGTGAATAGTGACGAAAAATGAAAAATGTGAAAATGACTCGGTCCTTAAAGGAAGTTGTCAATCCTAAGAAAAAAGTCTCAGAAACCATTTCCGAGCACTCGAGACGACACTAAGTGACAAGAAATTGAACATAGAAAAGAAATTTTAACGAAAAAAATTCATCCGTAAAATTTGAGGAAGAAGGAAAGGAATGAGAATGACCGGGTCATTACATTTTAGTTGTTCTTTAGCTAAAAATTTTGAAAGAAAGAGAAAAGAAGAAATTCTCAACCAAATATATTTTTTGTACAATTTTTAATTTGTAATTATCAAAAACTGAACCAAACAAGGTCTTAATGATTATTTATTTTGCCTTTTTCAATCAGAAGTTGATTTCTATTTTTTCATTAATACTTTTTATACGTGTATCGACTCCACAACACACATACTGTTCAAGTCAAGAGTGCGATTCGAAAGTGAAACCTCAAGAACTTAACTTCCGAATTCCTGCCAACGCAACTATGACACTGAGGATTATTTTTTCATTAATACTTGTAAAATATAAATTGCACTATCCTATATTTTCCAAACACAACAATAAAGGGTTATTAGTGTCCATTTCTTTTCTTCTCTTTCTCCTCCCTAAGACATGATTAGACTTAATGCAATGATTAAAGAGCCAAGAAAAAGAGCTATATATATATATGTCAATTGGTTTGTGACTGAGTATGTTGAAGTTATAATAAATCTTGATTAATTTTTCAAACTAACAAAATGGCTTTTTGTCTAAAACTTTTTTCAACGGCCCGACTGAGAAGACAAGAGATAGGGTCATGGGTCCTCTCTTGTCCTGACCTATTTAGTGACCATGCAGTTTATGTGTAGTTCACCCATGAATAAACATATTGCATGGATTTAAAATTTTATATATTACAATTGCTTTACTGGTCTTATCAAATCCAACACAAAATTAATACTGAAGCAAACAAAACCATAAACTGCATTTTTAATTCATCAATATTATTACTATTATATCCTTGCATTCAAAAGATGATTAGACATTGGATGCTACTTGGCGCACATGAAAATTTATGTTATGTTTATATCATCAACTGTGTCTGGTGTTGTAGTTCGTGTTGACATATCTGTATCTTCTCCGTATCCATGCTACTTAGTGTTTTCATTGGAGCAGCGAGTTTTAGGTCATTCTAATCATCTTTTGAATGAGACAATCTATATGTTTCATCAATAGTTTTGGTCTTTGCTCAAAAATTTGTGTAGTGTATATTCAAAATCATTGAAATTGAAGGTGGCTTTGGAGTAGTCATTCTTGGTACAATAGTCTTGGGCTTTCCCAATTGGGCAAGAGCAGTGAACAAGCTCATTAGCCTTCAGTTGGACACAAAAAGGGATTGCCAGAGATCCTGAATTACAATTGAAAGAGACTTGTTTTGTTTAATTTCTGTTTCATCTAACTTTGTTCACTTTCATTTCCAAACATTTTTACTTGATTCCAAAATGATTCGTCCATCTGAATGATAGATATACTTTGTAAAGCATCTCACTCTTCATTTTTTTAATAACATCTTACATTAATTAACTTGATTTACGAACTGCTTCAAAACAGACAACATTTTTGGAAAACATTTACAAACATTTGCCATTGAATCCCATATTATAAATAAATCATTGTTGGACCAAATATGAAAACAGGTGGTATGCAAGGACGGATCCAAAAATTTATGTGAGGGGGGCGACCTTTAACAATAATAAGATAAAAAAATTGAAACCATTCTAATAAGCAAAAACAAATTAATCCATAAAAAAGGATTCAATCATTCAAGGATAAACAATAAATTCAATAATAAATAGAGTTAAGAGTTTTGAGTATGTGTATACCGGGGCACGACTGGCGTCGCCGTGAGTCAAGTCTGCTCAACCTGCTCCTTCTTCTTTTCAATTGAGCTCCGATTTTGTCAACCCCACTTCCAGTTTTTAGTTTTCAATATATATAATTCAGTTTCCGATTTTCTCTCGGTGGAATAGTTTGCAGATCTAATTTTGCTAGTTCTCAAAAAGTCAAAATTTGCCATTTGCGGCTTCACTTTTCAATAGAGCCCCGATTTTCTCAACCCCACTTCCAGTTTTTAGTTTCTTGGATATATAATTCAGTTTTCGATTTTCTCTCGGTGGAATAGTTTGCGGATCTAATTTTACTAGTTCTCAAAAAGTCAAAAGGTATTTGCCATTTGTGGCTTCACCCTTGTTGGCTTTGTTTTTAATATATCTGTGTGTGTTTGCAGATCTATTTTTGCTAAGGTTCTAAAAAAGTCAAGTCAAAAGACGCATTAGAAGAGGGAAGGGGCAACAATACTTTTTTGTTTTAACTCTAGGGGGGTAAGTATTAAATTTACAACTAAATAATTTAATTTATTATAAAAAAATAAAAATTTAATACTAAAAAAATTATTTCAGGGGGCAAGTATTAAATTTACAACTAAATAATTTAATTTATTATAAAAAATAAAATTTAATACTAAAAAAATATATATTTCGGGGGACAATTGTCCCCGACTTTTTCTTAAGTCCGTCCCTGGTGGTAGGTGCTCTAATATATTTAAGACCTCAGAATTCAGGTAACTTGAAAAATTCAGTACAAGTCCCTGTCTTGTCTGTACACACGTAAATTACTTGGAGCTGCATGTTCCCTCACTCGTCAATGTTGCACACAAATCCTGGTTCGAAGCCAAGTGCTTTTCCCATCGCTTCTGCTACACCTTGTCTCGGATCAAATGAATCATCTGCTATGATTCCTATTACCTTTTTCCACTAGTCATAGGTTTGTGTGTGTGTGTATATATATGACATTTATCAGTAAATTAATTAACAACATACATATTACATTTTAAAGTGATTAATTTATGAGAGGAGATCGACAATTGTTACTTCTCAACCGTAAAAAGTAATGAAAGCAAAAATTACATGTATGAGTGATCATAGTTTATTGTAATAAGATTCACTTACAATAGTAATTGAGATTCTATAATAATTTATAGAACCTATAAGCTTCTATAATAATTTATAGAACCTATAAGCGCAACCAAATTTGAGAGTTGCCTCATTTGTGACAATAATAATCACTACGTATATAAAATAGATGCGACTATAGGCACAGTCAACAAACATACTGGACTGGGTTAGTAAACTTGTATATACACTTCGAAAGTAAAAAATCATATATACCATCAGGAGCGGAGCCTTTCGTGGACTAACCTGAGCTGTAGCCCAGGTCTCAAAAAAAAAATTACTATTACTATGTTCTATCAGTATAGCCCAGCCCAAGTTTTCAATCCATGATAAATGGCCCAGCCCACTAGCCCAACAAACCAAAGCTGATCCATGAAGAAGACCAAACTATTCAGCGTAATTTCAAGCAAAATAAAAACCATTTTTAAGTTTTTATTTACCAAAAAAAAAAAAAAAAAAAACCCCTTTACAGTTTTTAATCCTTTTTTTTTTAAAAAAAAAAAAATAAATAAAAATAACTTCAACATTCTGTTTATAATGATATTTGGTAATTGGGTATTTTATTTTTTTATTTTTTTGAATTATTGTCTAAAAATTTTGGATATCGGTTTCTTTACTTTAGGTTACATTTTGTTTGTTTTTATTGAATCATGTTGGATGTGGGTTTTTTCATATTTGGATTTCTAAGAAGTAATAAATTTTTCTCTCAATAAATTATCTTCTCTGCTTGAAATTTTTTTTTCCCAGTAAATTCTTTGCTTGAATTTTTTCTTTAGTCCCCCCACTTTCAAATCCTGACTCCACCGCTGTATACCATATCATATTCAGAATTTCTTCATTTTTGTGATCTTTTTTTTTTTAAAAAAAAATATTTAAAAATTGTGATTTGATGTATCTCCTCCAAATTTACATTCAATTAAATTCAGCAAGAATTAAGGGGTTATGATTATAAACTATTATTTTATTATTTTTTAATTATACTCAAATAATAAATAAATTAAAAAATATTTTATTATATTCAAATAGTAAAATTTAAAAAGTTATTTTATTATTATTATTTTTAATTATACTCAAATAGTAAATAAAATTAAAAATATATTTTATTATACTCAAATAGTAAAATTAAAAGTGTTATTTATTATTTTTCAATTATACTCGAATAGTAAATAAAATAGTTAATTTAAAAAGAAAAAAAAAACAGGTGATATTCGCATTCCACTTTTTTGCGTCTGCACTACTTTTGACAGAACTACCCTTTTATATTTTCTCTCCTCATCTCTATCTTTAATATTTTAGGTCTCTTTTGACAAGATAAAAAAAAAAAAAGTGATTTTTTTTTTTTTTTTTTTTTTTTCACAAGACCAAAAAATATATATATATATATATATATATATATTATGTTCAATAAATTGCCTCACTGGACCAAAAAAAGAAAAAAAGAAAAAAAAGAAAGGAAGTAAACATTAAAAAAAATTATTTCTTTTGATAGGAAAAAAAAACCCCAAAAAAATATATTTATTGAAGAAATTATCTATTTTGTCAAGCTAAAAAAAAAATTATGAAAAAAGAGGATTAAAAAAAATCTCTAATGAATAAATTAGCTCTTTTAATTATAACAAAAAGTTTATTTATATTGAATAAATTATTTCTTTTGATGGGATCCATTAAAATTTACCAAAAAAATAGTTATCTCTTTTGACAGAGCTAATGTAATGGCCCGAACCCGGAGGTCCGAATCCTTACCCGAACCCGAGAACGCTCAAGGGTAAAATGATCAACTAAGGCATGAAAATAAATGATATGACTCTAAATGAGTCATAATAGGTCAAAATAAGTCATAATGGTCATTTGAACCCATGTCGCAAGGTCCTAGACATAAGAATGAGGATTTCTACAATTGCTCCCTTCGGTTCCAAAGATTTTCGTAGTAGCCCACACTAAAAAGGGCATAACTCTCTCTACGATTAGAATTTTTAAGTCTAGTTGGTATCATTGGAAAACTGACTCAAACACCTTTAAAATGGACTCAAATTTGACCCAATTTGGAGTTAAAATGAGTAGGATATGATCGTTTAAAGTCGGGGGTTCAAAACTGTCTCTATTTTATTTCAGCAGACCCTGCTGGCTATAACGGTCGACCGAAATGACTCACCGATTGTCCGATTGTGGCTCTGGAGTTTCCCAAGCTACTGGTTTTGGTCCCAAAAGATACCAGTCGACCGAAATGGCCCAGAAATGCATTTTGCTCACTGTTTGAGTGCCCAAACAACTTGATATTATATGGTTAACAAATGAAACCCTTAATAGGATCAAACACTGCCCCAAACAACTATAAACATGTATACATTGACAAAATAACATCCATTTATCATAGCGGGATTAAATTACATCATTATACATATTCTAAAATACATGTTTTGAATGTTCAAAGAATAAGGTTACATTATCAAGGTCACGACTATAAGGCCATTACCTAAAATTTGCCTGGACTTTACAAAGTATACATCATAATACAAAATGGTTAAGAAGAAGTCCTTCTATTCCCATCCATGCCAGTGGAGGATCAACATTTACCAACTCTTCCCCATAACCTGAAAAATGTAGAGGAGTGAGCACAACGGCTCAGTAGAGATTGTCTAAGTGGCATCTCCTCAAGTAAGATAACTAATTACATGTTTTACATACAATGAATAAGAAAAAGAGTAAGGAATCATGCACTCATGTACAACACTTCCATTTTCCAATAATCATCATATTATCCATACACAAGACAATGCATAAAATGCCCAATGCAACCATATGTCACACCCACACCCACACCCTCGCACATCCACTCATCACATCCACACCCTTGTGCATCCGCACAACTTTCAAGCCCATAAACACCCTTATGCCATGCATATGAAAAATGCTTCAAACACAACCATTCACTACTCAGTATGCTTCCATAACACAATAAACAATTCTATAGTCACAACAAGATCAATTAACAATTATAGCATGCTTTGAGCATTTTAATATCATCTAACAAGTGAATAATCAATAACCTCACAACAACCATATAAAGAGAATAGTGTAGTCCATCATATAATAACTCAATAAATTGTCATTTGTAATTTATATATAAGCTAAACATATATTCACATTGAACATAGTAATTGACAAAGCTCATGCATAACTCAAAACCCTAAAACCAAATCATCCGATTAAACATCAAATTGACATGCTAGAGAAGGGAGAAAACATCCAATTAACTACCAACATCAAGGGATTTGACAACTAGACAACTCTACCTTGATTTGAAGAAAAAGCCCTAAATTCGAAATGCGCCAAAACCACACAAATTCAACTTTGCTCTAATCAAATCGAAGCTCTCGTCGTGCTCGTTAACTTTGCCTTCAGTGACAAAGTCAAATTCCCAATGAAATTGTGTAGATCTTAGCTTGAAATTGAAAAAAGAAAAAGAAAATGCAGAGAGAGAAAGAGAACGACGCAGGAAGAAGGTGAACTAATGGTCATGTAAGGACCAAATAGTCATTACAATGATCAAATACATGTGGGGCCCACCAAATGTAAAATATCTCTTTTGTCACCATTATACACACACACACACACACACACACATATTAAACACATCATAACCACTTATTTAAACACATAACCACATAAATACACATCAATTAATAATGTATGACATGCAACAGTCCCGAAAAATGATTTTCAAACACTACAAATTCGGTTGCTAGTCCCGCCCGGGACCTACCAGCTCGAAAAATTGAAAAATGCCAAAATGATTAACAATACATTTCTAAGAGCCTAAATTCAAAGAAATGCTCCGCTCAATTCTCGGAACTCACCTGGCACACCTCACGGTGTCTGGCATGCAAAACGAGGTGAAGAAAATAAATAATCTGAAAAATCGAAAAATCTCCGAAATTGGAATATAGGAAAAATCAGAAGCGTCACAGCTGAAAAAAAAGTTAACTTTGCGGAATAAATTATCGGTGAAAAGTTAAAATTGTATAAAGAATAGTTAGACATTATAAAATAAAGAATAATGCATTAATGAATTTAATGACTTTTTTGTTATTTTCTTTAAAAGAAAAAGGTAAGTGGAGTGGAATTGTAGAAAAATGGAGTGCGGATATTGCCTCAAAAAAAAAAAAAAGAAAAATATCAAATACATTTTCTCTTTTCTCTTTTCAAAAATTCAATAGCAATGTATGTTATTAGTTTTTGACAAAAATGATTGCACAACTTTTCAAAACTTGTCATTTTCACACAAATTAAAATATGACCCAAAAAAAAAAAAAAAATGAAAGGGACCAAACATTCAGTAATTCAAACTCCTACCTTCAAAATTTGAGGAAAGAATTTCCATCATAAAGTTATTACCATTATTCAGTAGCTAAAGAGGATAAAACTTTAACATTATTCTTTCATTTCCTCTCTCTTCTTTGATAGATGCTCTACTTTTCTTTCCTTCACCAGTATTCAAACAAATATAATGACTGAATGTGAGAAGTGGGTCATGGGACCTCAAAAAGATTGGTGCACCATTTTTTTTACTAAGACATGATTACACTTAATTCAATGATGAAAGAGCGAATAAAATGAGAGATAGAACCATTGCTTTATTTTTTTGGAAGTTAGAGATCCATTGCTTTGTGAGTGAGTGAGTGCGTGCCTTGAAGTTAGAAATCTTACTGTTTTTTCAATTGAACAAAATGACTTTTTTTTATCTAAAGTTTTAATCAATGGCCTGTTTGAGAAGACAATAGACAGGGTCATATGGGTCCTGGCTAGCTTGGGGTTTGATTAATTGTGAGACCTCAATAGTATGGAATTTGCCTTTTTGACCTGCCTATAGTGACCAATGACCATGGTGTTTATGTGAAGTTCACCCATTAATGAACACATTGCATGATTTATATTATAACTAAATTAGTGGTCTAATTAAATATTCAACAGAAAATTAACACCGAAGCAAAGACAAATTTTTTTTTGTCATTGAGTATTGGTTTGATTAGAAATTATATAGAAAGCTTAAATTCCATTTTTTTTTTTACAGAATTCCATTTTGTTTTAAAAGTTGGTTTTGTAAGAAAGTTTGAATTAGGGCATTACCATGGCCTAATTGGTAGAGCACACGGCTCTCCAAGTAAGTGCTCTCGTATTCGTTTGCAGGATTTTTATAAAAATAAAGAGTAATGTTGGATAATATATACTATCATCAAGTTACTCATATTTAAAATTTTTTTTTTAATTGTAGTCTTCAATCTCTTATAAAAATCCCAAAAATTCTAAATTTTTTGTAAAAATCCCAAATTGCCAAAATTTTGAAATCAGTGTTTTTATTTTTATTTTATATATATATATTTTATTTTGTCTAGGGAATTTTAGATATTTCAGTCTTTAAATTAAAAAGTTATCATTATTTGCTCAATTTTAAAAATACCCAGGGTGTTTTTTTTTTTTTTTTTTTTTTTTTTTTTTTTTTTCGAACGCTAGGGTTATTTGCACATCGTGCATATGGCAGGGATTTTTTTTATACTTTACCCTTTATATTAAAAATGATCAAAAGAAAGAGAACACAAAGCACGCGGTATACTATAAATTTTGATTTTAAATTTTGACTATACTATCCTCGTACAGTATTCTTTTAAAGGGGTCAAGGTTTATGGATAATATAGTACTGATGTGCACCTCATTCTATAAAAATAAACCTAAAAACAAGATAAAATGCAGTAAAAATTTGGGATCATATCCTTCTGTTCCTGTTCTTAACCCTTTTCCTTTTACGATCATAATGGCCAGTGGGACAACTCAAGAAGACATAAAATTGGATCTTAACTGAGAGATTCCAAAAATCAAGAGGCAACAACACTTAGCAGTCAAACACGATTTCTTCTAAAGATATATTCCTAGAGTAATGCTTGATTACTGTCAAGAGGAGTCATGTGCATGTGTGTGTGAGTGTGTGTGTAAAAGTTGCTGAAGGGGCCCTAGTCCAGTCTTGATTACTTTAGACAATGATAATGGTGACAAAGGAAACCCTAGTCATGATGATATCCCCCTCTCAGAAAATGGTCTTTAGCTCTTTATGTACAAAGCACAAAGGTTGAAAGAGTGCAAAAACAAAAGAAGAATTTGTTAGTTGGAGACAAAGTTGATTGAACTTTAATATGGGGACACCTTTCAAATGGTATTAATTAAAATATTTTTATCTCCACTTGCTTTTGTTTCATTTTAGTCACTTGTGACACTTTTACTTAAATGCACAACCATATGTTAAAGAATCAAACTATTACTTCCTCTTCTTGATTGCCATCTTCTTAAACTTTCTGCTTACCTAAGTTAGCACTAGAAGTTGCATTCATGCTCATCCTCCATATTAACCAAGTGAAGTAACACTCACGCAAAGCAAGAATTATTTGAACACCACACACACACAAATGTTAACTAGCTAGATTTCATACTAGCAAACTACCAATCCCATCACAAACTAGCACTTCCTTTTCTTCATTGAAAGTAAGTATTAGAGGCCTACAAGGTTATGAACTATATTTGAACACACACACAAAAAAATAAATAAATAAATAAAAGAAAAGAAAAAATGTTAACTAAATTTCACTTTGTATTATTGTTGCAGTGTCATCAAGCTCATGTGGCTCCAAATGCTCAATGAATCAGCTGAAAAACATTGAGGAAGACCGTCCGGCGATCTGGCTTCCAACGACATGTCTCCAACCCGAATCTTCAACGGAGTCCGTGGAGTTCCTTGCAAGGTCATGGAGTCTTTCAGCCATGCAGCTCTCCAAAATTCTTCCCCCCGCACAAATTGCATCAAAACATGTTGGGAAGCCACCTTTGTATTCTGTTATTCCTGAAGCAACCCCTGCACGCTCTGCAGTATCTAATGAAACTGTAAGAATAGTCCCAACAAAAGATTTTCAAAGTTGATCATATTGACTAGGTCATGCTGCTAAGGTGTGTGTGTGTGTTTTTTTTTCCCTCATAATTTGTATTACAGCAATTCCAAATGTTACCAAGTGCAGATAGTCCTCCAATATCTCCTAGAGGAAGTGATGAAAAGGTATTTCTATGTGTCCGGCCTCTCTCTCTCTCTCTCTCTCTCTCTCTCTATATACACACACACACACACACACACATATACATATTAAAAATGCATATGTATATATTTATGTCTTTGCTTGGCTATTATAACTGCATATGTTATATGTATGTCTTTGCTTGGCTATTATTGTTGTCTATTAAGGCTATTATATATATATATATATATATATATATATATATATATATATATCCATTTAATTTTGGGGAATAATTTAGAATGACTTTGTGACAAACATTATCTTTTCTCATGGCATGTATGGCACTGAGAATTAAGGTCTGAATCGAGTAGTTCAGAGTCATTCATCACACTTTTGGAACACATATACGTACATAATAGATTTATATGTAATAATTTTGTTCAAGAGCACACGTGCTCAAGGACAATTTAAATCTAATTGATAAGGCTTTTGTAAACAAATCATTTATAGGGTGGTTTTTGCCATACCAAACAAAGAATTTGGTTGTAATCTAACAAATGATGTGAGAACAACTTTAGTAATACAGCCACAAAAAAAGTTGGTGTCAAGTAATAATTGTGCAAAATCAGTAGTAAACATGAAGCAGCTCTTTTTGTTCAGTGCAGCTTAGAATTTGAAGCTAGAATATAACTAATTAGCGTAATTGTAGAGTTTCTAGGTATATAGTCATGTCAGAGGTAAATCCTCTGATATTCAAATGATTATCGAGCTAATTTCTAAAAATAGTAAAATTATCCTACGTCAAACTCTTCTCAAATCCTGCAATGTCAAGAGTCTCGTTCACTGAACTAGCTCTAAAATAAATTAATATTTTATCTATCCACAAATGGAAGCATATGTAACCTAAATGTGAAGGCTTTATCCTTGATTATGTCTAACGACAATTCAAATCTGTGCAGGAATTGTTTTTACTTCATCAAGCTCTCAACCCTGATTTCCTGTCTAGTCAACAATTGCTCAAAAATGGGGTAATTATTTATTTAACCTGATCATAATCACGGTTATCATCGCGATAATCTTGGTCATTAATTGTTAATTGTTCCTCCAGCTTTACAGGAACATCATGAGAGGAAAGACTATTGGTAGATGGATAAAAGATCAAAAGGAGAGGAAGAAGCAGGAGCTCAGAACTCACAATGCCCAACTGCACGCGGCGGTGTCTGTGGCCGGTGTTGCTGCTGCTGTGGCGGCTCTGGCTGCCTCATCGGCAACATCTCCCGAAAAGTACTCAACTGTCCAAAACAAGGCACCTTCCAAGACAACTGCTGCAATTGCATCTGCGGCAGCTATTGTAGCCTCCCACTGCATTGACATTGCAGAGGACATGGGGGCTGATCATGACCAAATCTTATCGGTTGTCAGTTCTGCGATTAACGCAAGGACTAATGGCGATATCATGACCCTAACAGCTGGCGCAGCTACTGGTATCATCTCCAACTTCTATTGACATATTAAGTCTAAAATTTGATTGAATTAATTCAAGAACACTATTGTTCTTTGTCATCTTCTAGTAGATTGTATAGGCTGCAACTTTATTTTGGGTAAGCTAGATTATAGAGTGCAACTTAATCAAACACCACATGGATCAAACATAATTGATTTAAGAATTCAACTTTTTTGAAAAAAAAAATTTTTGGTTGATATATGGGGTTGGACTATAATTTAGTAGGATCAAGTTAACAACATTCAAATGAAAATGTCTCCTTACCTACTTAGAAATGAACATCAATTTCTGAATTAATTCATAAAATTAAGGTTAATGAATTAATAATTTAATATTTCAATATTACACCGCAATTACTTTAAATATGATAATTACTACTAATGTAGCCTTGAGAGGGGCTGCCACACTAAGAGCTAGGCTGCAAAAGGGGTATGGAACTACATCCATTGCTCTGGCTGAGGAACAGGTTGAAGAAGGCAAAGAATCAAGTGTGACAACAGCATTGAACTTTGTTTCTAAAGGTGGGGAACTTCTCAAGCGAACGAGAAAAGGTAATTTAACATGAGAATTATAGGATAGAAGAAAAATCCATTGTACGTGCAGCAATGAAACTACACTAGCATTGTAGTTGATATAACTGTGGCATTCACTATCTTTTGAATGTTAATGGCAGGAGCTCTCCACTGGAAGCAAGTCTCCTTCAACATAAATTCAAATTGGCAGGTAACTAGTAAAAATAAAAAATAAATAAATACTAGCTAAATTCATTGATCAAATTCAAGTAGCAAATGATTTACTTCATAATTGTAGTGGTAAATTTGAACTACTCATGTCTTCTTTTGGTGAGGGTGGGCCTTGGCACAACACTAAGGTTGTTCCATTGTGAACGGGAGGTCACAGTGAATCTGACCCTCCCCAGATCAACCCCGTAATGGCATAAACCTATTTTATGTCTTGTTCGTATCGAGATTTAATGGAAAGTGGGATGAAACACAGGTGGTAGCTAAAATGAAGAGTAAGCACATGGCAGGGGCATTCACAAAGAAAAAAAAATGTAAGCAAAAGTCCACACACTATAGCATGTGACATTGTTATACTCTGCTTTTGGCATCTGAATTAAGGTATGTTGTCACTGCAGTTTTGGTGTATGGAATCTACTGTGACATCCCAGCATGGAGTGGAAGAGAGAGGGAAGAAAGCAATGAGGAGAGGGCTTACTTTGGCATAAAAACAGCTGACAGGATAATTGAATTCGAATGCAGAAGCAAAGATGAGAAGGAGATGTGGGTGGTGGGAATTCAACATATGCTCAACTGCAGACCAACATAATATGATTTTAATAGAAAGAAATAAATAGAAGTTGTTAAATACAAATGAGCATGGCAAGTGATTTGTATCTCTAGCTTTTCTAAGAATTAATCCAACATAAAGCAAGATTTTTCTATACACAAAATTCTATAATTCCTAATGAATTTAGTTTTGAAGTATCTGAAAATAAGATAAGCAGCCATTATCAATTAACTTTGTGCCTATTCAATAAATTCGCGAACAATATACTAATGAATACCATACGAACTTACAATAGTATTTATTACATTGGTCACTCTTTCTGAAATTATTACAATAGTCACTCTTCTTTCACCTGGTTACAAATGACACTAATAGTTATATATAGACAACCTAAAATGTATTACAATTAATGCTTAATATTTAATTTCGAAAACTGTACACCTAAATATCTATTATTTATCATTCTCTAATCTTCTGCAATCTACTAAATTTTTACATATTTTTCAATGTTGTAGAATCCTTCATCTCACTATAATAATTAATACTTTCTTATAACTTATAATAGGATAAAATGCAAAAAACCCCCCTGAATTTTGGAGAAATTTGTAACTAACCCCCTGAATTACCAAAATTGCAGAAAACCCCCTGAACTATACAAAAAAGTTGCAGATCACCCCCATCCAGCCAAGGTTCAGTGAGAATTGGCTGTCAAATTTAGTTGATTTTTTTAAAAATACCATATTGCCCTTAGAAGCATGAAAAGACATGAGTGCCCTTAATTTCTAACAATTTAACTCCAATATCCCATCCCAGTCAACAAAGCCAAACATGGCTTTAACCTCGTGATTTGGTCTGTTTTGCTGCCGACGAACCCAGAAACGGCGCCGACTAGGTATCTGGCGAGACCCGGCCAAACAAATTCCGGTCATTGATTCGGGCATAGAAACATATATATATATATATATATATATATATATATATAGAGAGAGAGAGAGAGAGAGAGAGAGAGAGAGAGAGAAAATTATATATTGTGGGCTGCTTGATATATCAGAAAATACAGAGAGCTTGAGGAACTCAACAAAGAGATTCAGCAACCAAGCCAATCGGAGTGCATCAATGATCGACCATCCGGAAAAATTCTCAGTCGTACTTTTCTAGTTATATCATCTTGGGTTGGTAGGTGCGTCACCGAAACAAAGATTCTAGTTTCGGCGAGAAGCTTTTGACCATCACCGACCAAACCCAAAAGCTTATGACCATCAGTGCATCACCGACCAAACCGTTTCTATGCCCGAAGTTATATATATATATATATATATATATAAACACATATATACAAGCACTAAATCTGAAATTGGGAAATTTTTTTGTATGGAGGTGGTGGTGCTGTTGTAGTGGCCGTGACAGGGATTGAGGGAGGAGGAGAGGATCTAGTGGTGGTGCGGCGACGAGGGTTGAGATTGGAGGAGGGGATAGATCTCCAAGGATGGAGGCTGATTTGGGCGAAGCCATCGTCATTAAGGAGAGGAAAGGAACGGAGGCCAGACCAGTGCTGGGTCGGTTCCTGGAAGGAGCGGTGGGTCAATTTCTGGAGGGGGATGCCGCCGCGGAACTGAAGCTCACTGGTAATGGTCTCTGAAACCTTATCTGCCTTGCCGGTTTGGTCGGTGATGGTCAAAAACTTCTTGTCGAAACTGAAATCTTTGTTAATTAAAGCACTGTTAATAAAATCTTTCTTGGCTTGTGGCGGTGCTTGGCGGGATGGAACAGCAGCCGAGAACAGCGGCTGTGATGGATCCGGCGGGGAAGGGCTGGCGGTGAACTCGGCGATGATGAACTCGGCGTTGCCTTCGGTTGTGGGTTTTGTGATTGGGTTGCAATACGTTGTGATTGGGTTACAATACGTTGTGCTACAGGACTTTAACCTTGCGAAGAAGATGAACAGTGCATACATATATATATGTATATATGTGTGTGTGTGTACAGGTGAAAGGGTTTTATAAGCAAATTAAGTCGTTTTATTTTTATAAATTAAGTGAAATTGATATTATAAGCAAACTGTGTCGTTTTATAAGAAGGGTAGCTTCGTCTCTTTTCTTTTTTGGTGGCCTGAGTGGGTAAATTGCAACAAATTGAAAGTTCAATGGGGTTTTTTTTGTAGTTCTGGGGATTAGTTGCAAAACCCTCATAGTTCAGGGGAGTTTTTTGCACTTTACCCTTTCTAATATGGTTAAGTACAAAGAATCCCTCTACTATTGATATAGTGTAAAAATGTCTGTATGTGGTATAAAATCCCCATATACTATCAATTTGGTGTAAATACTCTCATGTTCGCATAAAAAGACTATGATACCCTCTTGTCATTGAATTATGTTTATATTTTCTATTAATCAAAATAGTGTGATACAATAGCATGGGGGCCAATTTTTTTTATTTATAAAAAATAACATAGCTATATTATATATATATATATATATATATATAATATTATATGGGTAAAATGAAAAAAACCCCTTGAACTATTGGCCTATTACAATTAACCCCCTGAACTATTAATTTGTTACAGTTGAGGACAATCCGTCACCAAAAAAATAAAAAGACAATTTTACCCTCATTAAAAACAACGTCGTTTTGGAAGTTATAAACTTAAGTCAATTATGTGGAAGGTAGCAATCTCAAGGGCCAATCAAAAGTGACAACTCACCTAATCACATTGTATAATTATTATTTTTTGACACCTCCAATCAAAATGCCACCAATCAGATTGTAATATAATTTGTTTTAATATAACTAAAAGAAGATAATATAATCACAGAGAGAGAGAGATAGAGACGAAGAGGGGAAGTCGAAGAAATATAAGGCAATTAGAGTCCGTGAGGGCTCTTGGCAAATCGACACCCCGTTGCGATTATACTATTTTCTTCTTCTTCTCCAGCACACTCTCTTGAATCTATGTCTAACCTCTTCTCTTTCACTGTATATAATTTCTCTTCTATTTGCTGTGTGATTTTCTCGAGAAAATGTATGCTGAGAACAGGGGTTAGAGCGATGTCACTTTCTAGTACTGAATTGAAGTGATTATGTGTAATACCCCTAATTTTAAAAGGATAGTCTCAGTATTTATTTATTTGTTTTAATTGTAAATTAAATATTTTCTTTTCTTTTATTATTTTATTTTATTTTTCTTTTATGGTTATGGTTAGTAGTAATGGGCCAACCAATTGGGTCCCATGGACTACTTGGATAGGAGGTTGGATGTGTATGGATTATTACCCGTGGATAATGTATGTATATATATAGATATATATTATATACATATATAAAAAGGAAAGTAATTTATTAATTATTTTTATGGTAACTTGGGTAGTAATATTTAATCTGAAGTATATGTTTTATATTTAAATAATAAAAATATACATAGATTTGATACGTGTTATGTTTTAAGTTACTTTATAATATTATGGTAACTTAAGTATTATTGGATAATCCATTAATAAATAATGAAATGTGTATAATTTATTTATTTAATAAACATATACATAAATTATATACGTAACATATTTTGCTTACTTTTTTTATATTTTTATTTTCATTTTTTTTAATTGACTTGGATTGGGAAAAGGGTTAGGGTTATTTTATTTAGCCTATAAATATATAGCTATAGGTTGTAAAAGGGGGTTAGAAATATTCACGTGATATATACTGGAGAGATAGTGTTAGAGAGGGAAGGAGGAAAAGGAAGGAATGAGGAAAAAAACCTTATAGAGAGAAGATCAAGGAAGAAGAAGTTTAACTTTCGATTCGAAAGTTTAAGGCAAGTTCTTCTTCTATCTCTTTCCCTTTGATTCGTGTTTCTGTACATGCCTAGGAAATTCCAGAATTTATTAAACACATAAAATTAAATAATTATGCATGTTTAATTGGGTTAGAACACAGGTTTTATGAAATTGGTTCTTATCTGTTCTTGTGTTATGAATTGATAAATGCATGACTTTGATTGGATTTTCGGTGTGAATTTTTACATGTTTAAATTATATATTTTTCATATCTGTGGAATGACGAAACGTAGAAACATGCTTAAGATTCCTGAACATTAAATAGGAACTAGGTTTGGGTTTAAATAAATTTAAATAGACTCAATCATAATGATGCTTGCTATTTGAATGTTTTAAACAAACGAATGGATTTAATCTTTTAATATGTTTTACCAATTGAGATTAAATGTGTAGGATGAATTGGATATGGAGAATGTTTATTTGACGATATAATAAAATATCATCATATGTATAAGATTTAGTTTATGTAGGACATATGTTATAGGAAGCTTAAATAAATAATAAGTCATTCTTATTTTGTGATAACTTGATATCATATTATCATAGTTATTTATGGAATGTTTGATGTATTTCCTTAATTGTTACATCAATTGTTGGATTGTGTGGTTTAATGCACCGGTATGGGACGGTGGCATTCTAGGGATGGATTAACTTATTAGTTAAGTCCTACTTATTTTATATAAGGGAATGGATTAACTAAAATGTTAAGTCTTACTTATATTTAAGTCAGGTCAGCTGAACAAGTTGAATGACTTATGGATGATTAATTTATTATATAAGGGAATGGATTAACTAAAATGTTAAGTCCTACTTATATTCAAGTCAGGTCAGCTGAACAAGTTGAATGACTTATGGAGGATTAATTTATACTGGATAGGATGGTTACTACATTATATATATATAAGTATGGTGCCATGATATGAACTTGAGTCTCAGGATCAATGGTTCGGGCGCGTATATCGCCAGGGATGTGTAGCTAGATATAATGTAGTTGTGTACCCTGGTAGGTCTAGGTACTCATGCCCACTATATGTGTGTTTTGCATGTTGCCTATTATTCAGGTTCAGACAACCCTATAGTCTAGTGAAGTTCCTTTAGTGTGTGTATATATATATATACGGACTACTAGTTACTGTTGGATTGACTAGGATGTATACATGTATCGGATCTCTGCTTGGACTGTAGTAGAGTAGAACTTGTTTGTGGGCCTGACCCACCATTATTTTTCAGGTGTTCATCAAGAGTAGAGGTTGTTCGTGCTGAGCGGGGATCAGTTTACTTCATTCTTCCGATGCAACATAGGAGTTCCTTTATGATTCAGTTTCCTGATTTAGACAGTTATTGCCGTCATTTGTTTAGTTTGGATTTTCTAGGGGTCCACACAGTATAGATTTCCGAGTTGTATTTTGGAGGATCAGTTGTATCAGAAGAGTTTATTAATTAATGGAAATATATTCTGAGGTTTATTATTAGATTATCATTTTAGTTTCTTGTCAGCATTTTATTTATTCTTCTTTATTCTTTTGTACTCTGTGTTCGTTTATTATCAATTTGTTTTGATATCCTCGGGTATTCGGGCGTGGGCCTGGCCAACCCGCATTCGGAAATCCGGGGGTATCACAGTTAGTATCAGAGCACTCCAGGTTCAAGTGTTCTTAGGAGTGTCTTTCGTTATGTGACTTCCGCGTTGCGTCTCTTAAAACTTAGAGCCCATATTAGGATTCGTTGTATTTTATTTACAGTTTGTTAGAAAGAGCTGATGTCAATTATATTCTGTAGTCATAGAATGGTTGGCACTAGAAAAAGGATGGGTTCAAGGCGAAAGCAATAAAGACCCAAAGGAGTAGAGGAGTATGTTATCGATTTCGTTGCCAGAAGGCAGAGTTAAGGATTGACGGTTTAGGTTCGTTTGGCGTTACTTTAAAAGTATAAGCCGAGGAAGGATTTAGGTGTACGTGATAGGTCACCGCATATCGGGACCAACACGACTTCAGTTGATCTCAAAAAGGAGACAAGTAAGGAGTAGGAGCCGAAGAGGATCCTAATGGAGGAGATTTATGTGTATCTAATAGAGAGGGTACTAAATCTTGAAGAGGGATGATTGCGCGAGGTGATCTGAATTGCTAGTAGTATAGCGAATGTTATTAGTAGAATTGGGATGGAATAGCAGCCGAGAACAGCAGCTGTGATGGATCCGGCGGGGAAGGGCTGGCGGTGAACTCGGCGATGATGAACTCGGCGTTGCCTTCGGTTGTGGGTTTTGTGATTGGGTTGCAATACGTTGTGATTGGGTTGCAATACGTTGTGCTACAGGACTTTAACCTTGCGAAGAAGATGAACAGTGCATACATATATATATGTATATATGTGTGTGTGTGTATACAGGTGAAAGGGTTTTATAAGCAAATTACGTCGTTTTATTTTTATAAATTAAGTGAAATTGATATTATAAGCAAACTGTGTCATTTTATAAGAA